ATGTTACGTTTATGTTTAAGGATATCATCTCTTATAAAATGTGATTTTCTAACGAAAATCTATCCAATTATTATTACTGTGTGGCATTTAAAGTTTCAATGCATCGCCTTTATTTCTATTGTGCAATTCAATTCTTATACACGTGTATAAATTTGTGGAGCACATTTGCTTTTAGTAGAATGCGATTTGCGTTTTTTTTTGTTGACATTTTGTATATCGAATTCACGTGAAAAAACTGGTAACACGAGCACTCGCCTATAGGAGAGCGTTTAAGAAAGGAAAAAATATTAAAGAAAATCCCTTTCCCTAAACATAATTCGAATTCCTTAAAGTCATTTGATAATAACAAAGCAATATTTTACAATATGACTAAATTTATTCTAATTCCCTGGATTCCTGAATAAGACCACAATAGAAACAGCAACAATGTATGCAGCAGTCCTCAGCCATACTTCCCTGGTAAGTATCAATAATGAATTCATGTAAATTTTCAGATGTACCCTCAAAAAGGATGATGTCACAAGAAATTAGAAATCTAACTTACCCGAATGTTTCGTTCTTGTCTAATTTCGCCTCGAGTTATGCTTCCGATTAGCCAAGTGCCAAAAAACTCGGATGTGCAACACCAAAGCAGGCATTCTGAAGCACAACCACTATCGGGTGTTAATTTCGCCTTATTTCGACCCTGGACAGGTGGAATCGTTTTTAATATCACTTACGAAGATTAAAGACAAGGTGCGAACACGACAATCATTGTAATACTTACATATGTGATGCAGGGGAAAAAGTATGTAAGGAGGCCTTTAATTAAAAAGATTGTAAGGTGAAAAAAATCTTCGCAAACCTTTCTCTAACAATTTTCAACAGTGCTACATACATAACTCGCAATCTCCAAAGCAATCAAACAATCCATGCCTCCACTCGTATGGCCCTTCTTTGGCCGGAGGGACAGTCATTTGTGGGATTTGCGTGTAATATGTCATATTTACAATTTATTCAACAAGATAAGGCACACAAGAAAAAGTTAATTCCTGGGAGCAGCGACTTATTCTTTTTATATATCAATAAAGTGCATATATACGTAATATGAACTGTAGAAGTCTGCATGTACTTATCCAAATTACTTATTAAAAACTTCATGTCTTTACAAAAACCTGAGGTTTTACATTTTATTTTTGATTACGCCTACATACGTACTTTGTTCTTTTTTCTTACAGATACCGATCTAAAACTGATCAGAGGCATCGAACATAATACGCAGAATAGGAATGAAAGCTGTTAACTGTGTTACATGATTAACAATTTTTCAAAAAAAAAAAAAAAAATGTTTGTTTAATAATGCATAGCGATTGAGTGCACTTATCAAATAATAGATATCCTATTGTATTCGAATTAAGTATCATGCATATTTCACGCGATCCTATTATACTTTTAATTATTTTGGCAGACCAAGTACGCAGTAAACTTCATGTTGATTCTCTGCTCTTATTCTATGCAATAAAAGCATTCTTACAAGTAAAACTATTATCCTTGATTCATAGTAGAGTTCCCAGGCTCATGCAATCTAAAAGCATTTTGTATCAAATCATACAATTGAAAGTATATGCCTTAATAGAAAATTCTTATTTACTATATAAATTAAATATTTTATTGAGTAAAGTAAATTTAACTGAAAAATAATTTAAAGCATATTTCATTTGTTACTTAAAATATTTTGTAATTATTAAAACTACATTAATTATTTGTGTTAGAAATAAGCACCTATATAGAAAAAATTATTTAAAAAAAATTGATTTGTTTTTATAATTATTTTATAGCAAATATATTTTAAAATATAATATATATATAATTGATTATTTTTTTCATATTAATTTAAGTTTAAACTATTGTATTATTTAATTTTTTATTTAATTTATAATAATTATCTTATTTTTTTTTTTAAGTGAATGGATACTCAATGCTATGGTTTTTATTAAATATTATATTCAAGCCATATATTTGAACTGTCTTATACATACTAATATTACTATTAACTGTAAGTTTAACTATAACCAATCTATTTATATAATCCTATCATATAAATTCTACACTGGGTTGAAGCCTATATATCAGGTGAGATTATACAAAAGGTGGAAATCCTATCACCAGTTTTAAATTACCTAATCTATTAATTTATTTTAAGGATATCTTGAGAAAACATATATTAATACTTAATAAATCATCAATTACATTATGTTTCTAGGGCCTTATAATTATGAATGAAAATTTCATACATATATGTATTTTCTAATAGATGTTCTGAAACTGTAATTCTTGATTAACACAAGTTATCAAATTTAGGGATATAAATGTCAAGTGGAACATAATATCATATTCTTTTAATAGATACTCCAAGAGAATTCAATTGATTTAAACTATCAAATCTAAGGATATAAATACCAAGTAGGATACAACTCCTATATATAAATAGTGTGAACTCATCACTTATATTACATGTTAGTGTCCAGATAAGCACTCTCTTCAAAACTTCCTATTTTATATTAATATATTTTGCTATAGAATCTGTTATGTCAAAGGGAATATAGACTTATTATTGGAATTAGATCAGAAGTTTTTTCTTATACAACCTTTCCTATTTTAATCTGTTTTTAGCCTGCAATTATTAAAAAGATCAGAAGTTCCATATTCATGTAACCTAACTAAATTTGATTAAGATCTGAATATTTGAATATGATATTTATAGAAAAACCAATAAACTTACAAATAAAGAATAATTTTTATATATACAATATAATAAATATCTTATTTATCTATAAATTAGTAATATTTATTTAAAATTTTTGTGCAAATAATAAATATCTTATTTATCTATAAATTAGTAATATTTATTTAAATTTTTTATAAAAAACAAAATATTATATTTAATAATTGAATTAAAAATTAATTTAAAATTAAAATATTTAATGGTTAAATTAATAAATAATATTCTTATTAAATAATTATTTATTTTTATTTAAATTTATAATTACTATATATAAGTATATAATATTTATTTAATATTATGACCTGTGGGTCCATAGCACAGTGATTAGTGCTCCCAGGTCCAGATCACAAGATATCAGTTCAACCCCAGGTAAAGATAGTTGAATAGAATTAATATAATATCTGGTACCATGATCTGCTTAGTACCGTTTCTTATAAGAAGCTAATTCACATACTGATCCAGTAGGCGTTAAGATTGTGATCTCTAGAAAAGGTGTCGTGGTGCAACGATCATCCAGTTGATGTTACGATAATCGCTAAAAGTTAAAAAAATAAAAAAAATGTTGAAGGTATCCAGTTTAGAGCAAGGTGGTTTGGTGATCATCTCCTTATAATACTTGGTGTCTCTTCTTGCAAGTGGTCTCAACTCTGATTGGATTAAAAGGCTTCCTCTACAGAGTTCTATTCACCTAATAGGTACTACCCCCAAGTTTCTCTTTCACTTCCCCTTAGAATATCCCTGGTTAGAAATAAAACATTACTTACATATAATAGTGACACTAACAGAATATAGGCACATTAGCCTCGGCTCATCTGAAATATGACAGTATAATAGCAACAAACCAATATGGGAGTAAAATCCGATATAGTCTAGTGATATGTAGAATAGCTGATAGATAGTAATTACCTATGTAAAAACGTGTAAGATACATATGTTTGTTAAATATCAATATTATACTAGATAAGGCTCAGCTAGTTGCGTTAAAAAAAAAAAAATAAATAAATAAATAAATAAAAAATTTATTTAATATTATAAAAAAAATTCAGATATAAATTAATATTTGTTAAAATAAAAATCATTAAATATATAATTTTTTTATTTTATTTTATTTTTTTAAAGAGCATGATAACGATCCTTTTAGTTTATTTATTATAACTTTATAATAATTACAATATTACAAAAAAAGATATATATCTCTCTAAACTTAGTAGAGTTAAACGCCAGGCTCAAATGGCCTTTTATCTATACTCTGGGCATCCCCAAGACATATAGTAAAATGAAATTCAAAACCTATATATAAACATCTTGAGTGGTATCTAGTTTCCTAGAGATAGTTTGATTATCTAAACACATGAAGGTGCTGCAGCCAAATTTTCACAGATTAGCCTCCAAGTCATGAGTAGGATTAACACCCTTTGCTTTTTAAATATGGCTTAATATACGGCAAGAGGAGTCGGTGGTAGCATTACTACCGGATTTGATTCATAATTGGTTATCTTAATGCATGAAGGCGCTGCAACCACTTTATGCAGGTTGGCCTTCAAGTCACAAGAAGGATTTGGCATATCCACTTTTCAAGTGTAGTGGAAGTGTCCAATGAATAGAATTGCATATGGTTTTCTTATAGATGTTGTTACCTAACCTTGTACAAGAGACCTACATTGTCGAGGAGTGAATGATTGATGTCACCAGCTCTGTTTGCGAGGGTAACTAGAATTCCTGGTCTTCACGTATTGTCTTACTAGATTCCCATAAGGTGCAGCACCTAGAGATTCAGTCAATAATAGTGTGCACCGGTTTCTTAGACATATCTAGTCTAGCCGTCAACAAGTAAACAATGCCGAATTTGGTAATGATGATCAAGCCAATCTTTTGGAGGGGGTAAACCATCCGTCCTTTTTCTGAGAAAAAACATGGAAGAGAAAAACTTGTCAAAGCCCACTTCTTGAAGAAGGTTGCCACTTCTTATTTTTCCTTTGAGAAAATGGAGTCGACTGGCCAGAGGAGTAATGAAATGGGACACGGTATTCTTGAAAAGAGGGAGAGATCTAGAGAGGAAAAACTTCAGGAAGAAGGAAAAACCTAACTTCGGCAGGAAAGAAGGGAAAAGAGGAAGGGGAAGATATAAAAAGAGAAGATAGAAGAGAGGGGAGAGAAGAAGGAGAAGGGAATAAAAGGTTTGTAACCAAGGAAAGGGAGGGGAAGGGGAAAGACGAAGAAAAAAGTAAGCAACTCAAAAATTTCCTAAAAAGGAAATTTTCAAGTGCAGAAGGGGGAGTGGGAAAGAGTTTTTTTATTCTAATTGTTTTTACTTTTTGAATATTTCCAAGTCATTTATAAGGATTCTAATGATTTTGTGTTCGATTCCATTCAATTCCAACTTTTATAATAAATTTAATAGGTGGATTATAATCCACTTATGTTTTTTATATATATACAAGTCCATGCGAGTCTATGTGATTTCAATTTTTGGGACCATAGTCATTTATAAATATTTTGACTTTATACCTATTATATATATTATTTCTAATATTTTTTTTAAAAAAAAACTCTTTTCTGTACACAAAATTTTTTTTGCTTTTCAATACTCAAAAGTCCTTCACACTTTCTTTAATTTATTACAAAAACCTCAAGAAAATCAAAGAAATCCACTGGTACATCAGAATGGAACCTTTGACCAAGGAAAAGCAAGTTTGTGAATCTTGCTTTTCTCTTGGATTGCATAAGAAAAGACATATGGCAGTCAGCTTCTTTTATTTTTTTCTTGAAGTTTTTTTCATTTTCATTTTTTATTAAAATACAAATTTTATTAATAAACATATTTTCTTCTTGAAGAAAGATTTTTATTTTAAAAAATTCAATTTTATATTAAAATTGTTTATATTGCTGACTTGAAAAATCAGTAATATATTCAATATTGATTTTTTAATAACACTTAATATACTTTACTGTATTATAAAAAATCAAAAAATTTTTTATCAAAAAATCACAATCAATTTGATCCTATCAACTAATCATTATTATTATTTTTTTTTTAAGTAGGGAAACATCAATTCTTTATTTTATTTCATACGTATCATGGCATACCTTTTGAAAAGAATCAACATCTCTTAGGTGCAAAAGCATATAATAAGTTTAACGCTAGCTTGCCTACTCTTATAATGTTTAACTAGCATAGAAAAGAAATTTTAAACTATACTAATTGCTAAACAAAGGGAG